ATCTCAAGACTGTACTTAAATATGTTTGAAATATATAAGAGTCGACTATAAATACTGATCATAATGATGACAATTTATAAAGGCGGCAACAAATTTATATATAGAATTAATGTATATATAATTAAATACACTATTTTATAGAGTTGTAATAATGATAAAGTAGTTTAATCAATCATGTACATTAATTCTACATATAAAACTTGTATAGTTACATTATGTTGTCATCTTTACAGTTGCCGTCATCTATATCCTTTTCTCTGAATGTATATGTAAAAATTCGAAATTAAACATTATTGTATTTGTATAAAAATTAATATTTTCCGGACGATGTATCGTTGTTCCATCGATAAAATATAGACCCCCTCAACCAACTGCAATATTCTCTGACTACACTTGCTAAGTCCTAATTGTTCAGCGAGAAAATATGCCCGTAAACTAATACGGCTCTTAATGAATCGCTTGCAGCTTGCGCTGCACTTGGACGCGATCAAGAGATTCCTGCCGAAAGCCTTTGTTCGCCATCGACATCCTTAACCATGGCTCGCACGTTTACCGAATCCATTTTCAACGCTCGTGCGAGCGAATATCCGATATATAATTGGAATTTAATTCGTGTTCGAGCGCCATAGTCCACTGAAGCGACACAATCGGAACTTGATAACTATCTCGCTAGCAATTAATGAAGTCGTAGAGAACTCATGCTCATTGACTTGTGCGAATAAATGTGGTGTGTTATGTAATATGAAAGTACCGCTCTGCAAGTTATATCAAATATATAAAATATGCATGTGTACTTCAAACAAATATAACAGATCACATCGTATATAATTAACATATATCGAACAAGATAATTATATTACAAAATTCCCTTTAATCGCATTTAAGTTATCGATATATTCGATATGAAATGAGGATAAACGTTAGTCTGTATTTTAATAAAGTAACTAATATCGTATACGCTCTCACATAAATTCAGAGAATGTTCTATATTGATTCAGAGTAATTAAACGAACGAATTGATCATTATTACATCAATCATATTAGCTCACTACACATACATATTAAATCTGAATCCTGACTAGGATTCTATTATTTATGATTTATTCACGTATAACTTACAGACTACGTTTAGCTAAAATATAGAGCGATGCTCATGCAGTTAAAGCTAAAACATTATTAAGAGTTGGAGTAAGCACACTAATAGTTGAAAATAATTAGCTGCAGCACAATCCGTTTTAAAGTGGTATGAGAATAGTTAAAAAAAGTTTTTTCATTAGCACAAGCTAACATAAACTCTCCTTACATAAACGTTCCTTGTAATAAAAAGAAGAGAATTTTTGTTCTTTTTTAAATATTCCGTACTCTCTCTTTTTCTTACAAAACTTGAATTAACTAAAACAAGCATAATCCGAGAACGATTATTCTTTTTATTTCTCACGCAAGTACAAAATAATTGTTCAATATCGTAATTCGACATTTCTGAAACTTTTATAATGCAACGTCCAGTTAATTTTTTTTGAAGGCTTTTTGATGATACAAATTCTATTTTTACTTTTTTATTTTCTTGCAATTAAAAGTAATTTCATATGACTAATGGTATTAAATATAATTTCCATGGAAGCAGCGCTCTTTATTTATTATGCGACTGGAAAGTAACGCATGTAAACGAATTCACATACGCAGTGTTGCAACGTTCGCCGAGGTTCGCCGAGGTTATTTGAAACACGATCTGATTTACATCGTTCCGGGGTAGTTCAATGATGCTAACTCGTCGGCGATGGCGAGCTGGACAAATGAAGCCGTATGCAAGTGGTTAAAGAGAAAAAAAAAGATATAGCTGATGCGCGTTATGCAATTGCGCGTTGCGATCGATCACAGAGAGACAAAATAATCGGATAGTTGGTATTATCAGCATGGTATTAACACCAGAATGGCCGATCCGAGTGAATTGCCACGTAAGCTTCTTTTAATCAATTACAAGCCTTACAATTTGTAGACGTCGATCAATAGTGAATGCAAATCGTGAGAGCGGATTTTATCATTGTTTAGTTCTCTTTCAGTCCTTTCTTTCTCTCACGAAGGTAGCAATGCTTGATGAAAGACACGTTAAAAGACACGTTTTTTATTTGTCAATCAATTTATTTGCAAATTTAAGAACAAATTTTAATAGTACAAAAATTATAGTGATGTATTTATCTACATATAAAAATAGTAAATTTTATTATTTTTACTAGTGCTAGAAAACAATCTACAAATTCCTTTTCTTTCCGTTCTAACGAATCCTTCTGCATAAATATTACAAAGCATGTTTTTTTATTTATCCACATGCAAATTTAATAACAATTTTTTGCTAATATAGAAAATAAGAGATCTAGACTTTTTCTTTTCCTCACAAAAAAATCTTTTTATTTAGATAGACGTTAAGAAACTCGTTTGCTATTTAACATATTTAATTTAACGAACGTTAATAGTATAGAAATTAGATTATATTAATGATATTAGTATTTTAATTGTAAGCATGATGCCATTATAATTTTTCTTATTTCGCGGATATTCTACGAACTTTCGGAATACGTAACACAAATGGCATCGAATCTGAGCGTGTTGAATATCACGTTTCTACAATTTGCTCGAGTAATCCAGACGAAGATTACCATGCGGAATGTTCCACCCGCAAGTATAGCCTACCTCGTCAGAGTAAGTCCCGTGGTTTGGTCTTAAAGCAAATGAAGTTATACTCGCGGATGCAGCTACGCCGTTTCAAAGGATCTATCTGAAACGCGATTTAATTTAAAGCGTTACGAATGAAGGTAGTAGTTGCGCGATTTCAACTCGTTTACCGGTGCAATCGCGATTCGGCGATTCAAGAAACTTTCGTTCCTCAGACGACTCGCTTTCCTCCACTACATCGCGCAGAAAAGCGAAACTCATTAAGCGGTTATAGAATTTCATTCGACCTGCCAAAGTGAATTGACGGCTCCGTAAATCTGTTTCGTTCAACAATACGAAAGCACAAGTCATTCTCAAACAACACATTCCTATTTCGCCTAATTATAAGCTTAATCATTCCATTTTATGATGGCTATATCTCGGTCATGATTAAAACAGAAAAATATACTCAAAGGAAAAAATGATTGCAATTACTATAATTTAATTATAATTTATAATTTGGAAAGAAAGTGTCCAATAATTCAGAAAAATATGTTAACTATTTAATATTTTAATATTTCGTAAATTATAATGTAAAATATTGTAACATAAAATATTACACATTTAGCATGTCTAAATTAAAATTTTTAAGTCAAATTGTGGAGACGCATATAAATATCGATCTTTCGAAAATATTCGTCGAGCATTTGAAAATAATCGGATAACGAATTCTTATTTGTTTCTTCAAATTGTCTAATTTTTGACGAATATCGTTTAGAAATTTTATTCCGACAAAATAGTTGCGTTATATGGCGAAAAATCTTAGCATAATTATTGCAAAATTATCAAGTCAAGACGCCATTATATGTTTTCATAATTTGTCTATTGGAATACTAATATTATAGCAGTAATAATTATAAAAATGGAGCTCTTAATATTTATAATAATTATTTTACCATGCAATATAGTCACAAGCAATTTCTTTCAATGTAAGAAATCGGTTTAATAGATTGTTTCTAAGCTACATTTGAATACACATTCGACCGAATTTCAAACACACTCGAAACTTCTGCGAGATAATCTTCTATGAGTCCTATCTGTGAAACAGGTCTGCAACTTGCGCGTATTTATCCGGATAGACACGTCATTAACGAGCTGTATCTTCGTTACGATCGGCTTGAAAGCGTTTCTTAGGGACAGTTGAATACATCTCTTTCGTCAGCGGAGAGTCAAGGAACTTTCTTTCGCGCCCGGAGTTGGCTGTGCCAATCGATAACACGCTTTGCACGCATGTCCGGCAAACCGAGAAAATCGCAAGTACGAAACGGTTGCGCAAGTGTTTCCGGTTCTGAGAGATGCGCACGGACCTTGGCAGAGGTAAAAATGTATTGGACGCTCGCCACTCACGTATTTTAATTTCGTTCCATCTTACACTGACGAATAATGAAACTTTCAAGCTTCTCGTGATAAATTACAAGTTGTTTAACAAGCAAGGCATGCGGAGAGAATTGAATAAATTATATTTTGTCATAAAATTTATCAATTTATTTATGACGTAAAGATAATCATTTTGATCATATAACTTATACTTTACAATTAACTTTTATACACCTTAATTCCGGTATGATAATAATAATAATAATAATAATAATAGTCCAAGGTGATACGCAAGAAACTATGAAATTGAGCGTGACATAAGTCGAAGGACGCCCATCGAGTAATGCATAATAACGTTACTTCAATGTCACATAAAATTGCAGTGATAAAAATTATTATAATCACGTTAAACTTGTCGTTGTCGAATCGGACCCAACTTTTTGTCTATTCTCGTTTTTATCAATACAGATTTAACTTTAATTTCGATTTAACTTACTCCTTATCTCTTTATCTAATTCTCAAAAACTTAGAAACTAGAATTAGAAAAAGATAAAGGATAAGTTAAACTGAGATTAAAGATAAAATTTAATTTATATTGGAAATGGACATTGCTGTTTCGAAACATATGCGGGAAATTAGCTGTCGGTTAATCGAATATTAGCAAATTGAATTTTTAATTCAATCTTTACTTTGCATGACCAGTTAAATTATCATATAATTACAAGAGAGATTATAACTGATAAATGAAAGTAGACGTAAACTTATTAAGATAATTAAACATAAACTTATCGCAAACATAATATCACTATGCGGTACAAAATGGAATATAAAATAACATTGAAATGATTATTTGAACTTTTGAATAAATAAAGTGTCATCCAAAAAAATTTAGTTTTATTAAAATAAAAGAATTTTAGTTCCATGTTGCACACATTTCTTGTTTATATTTAACATGAAAACAGGATGGTACTTACTGCCTCGTGGACCGTAGAACTTAACGGAGAATTCATTTAGTCCTCCTAGAATTGTCACCTCGTGTTTGCTTTCTATTCTGTTTGGAGCAAAAGAGTTAAGGAAAATTGCTTTCTCTCTCTCTCTCTCTCTCTCTCCCTCCATCTATGTTACATGGAGTTGTTATGTATCTATGTGACGGGAACGGCAAATCACGGGTTATTCGTCAACAGCGAGAAACGACATACGATAATCAGCATACGATGCATACGAAAAATTGAAAGAGAGGTAAGAGGAGACGTGCAAAATTGTGCTGCGGCTGGACCGTTATGGCATCTAACGACACACTGCGCAGCGCACAAATATTCCAGTGACAATGCTAAACCGTATCATTTTTCCATCTATTTTTTTTTCTACTTTTCTCTCTTTATTTGCGCGATGGAACTCGCACGGCTAAAACGTTGATTGTACTTGTGTAATATCAATAAACCATGCGACGCTTAAAACTGCCGTTACGCGCTGGCTTTTTTGCGTTGGCATGAATACATAGATGAATAGAGAGATACACAAATTTATAAATTAATTAAAGAGTTAATGAAATTTACAAAATACGTATATTCGCGTTAGCACCTTTAAACTCGCATCAGTTTATCTGAAATCACGGAGATATCGTAATCTCATTTATCGCGCATAATTATGACGTATAACAAGACTTGTATCTTGTGTATACAAATATAACGCGCTTAAAAAGGACACGGGATTGCAATAGGCTTTCACACATCATACACACAAACATACACACCATTAACGGGAACGTTTAAACTAGTCGCTGGCTTGCTTATCGCTTGTGTAAGAGCAAAACTTTCAGTGCGTGCATTAGAAAGTGCTTATCTGAACAGCGCGGTTTCGTAGGAGGTGAATTACTATTTTTTTCTCGATAGAAAAAAACCAAACGCGAGTCAAGCTCCGTGTATGAGACGGCAAGAGCGGGTCTTTCGACAACGCAAACCGAGACGAATCACAAAAATGGATTTCGTCGCAAATTACGATGTACTTTAATGACGTAACGCGAGTTAAAAGAACGACGATCTCTCGGCACGAAATAAATTAAGCGATTAAATCGTCGAAGCGTCGCGTTCGACTTAAAGGCATTTAAATACTTCTTAAGCCTCACGTTTACGGTATCACACGTTGTTACGATTTTCGTGACGTTACGTGACGTACATTTTTATCACCGCGTAAAATCTGTGGCGCGCGGCGCGGCAATAAAATCCGTCCTGATTAAATTATTCAATGTCCTGCTCGCGCGCACGTGAAAATACACGCGCTTTTCAGCGCGTTGGAATATAAAAATATCATTAATTTAATATCCTCTCGCTCGAATTTTGTCAGCTGAAACCAGAGTGGCGCCCAGTGTCATTAAAATATTTAAGCGTATGCAAGAGCATTCATCGTAACAATACGTATTAAATATACAATTTTCCAAAAATAAACTTTTTAATTCCACATATTACCCGTGTAGTTGCTTTTAACTAATAATTAGGGGAGAGTGGAAGAACTGCAAACATCTAAGGGAAAAGTTAAATAAAGATCTGACGATATTTATTAATTAATAAATCTTTATTCAAAAAACATTTCAGTTGCTTGATAAACTATAATAATTAATACTAATTTATTATCAATATAAATACAAACTATAATTTTAAACAAAAAACAGAATCTTATTGCCGTTCGAAATTATATTCGCCATCACGAGACAATGCGCCGAAACAATTGTTTATTTACAATTTACAATTTATATTAATAATATATAAATGTCAATTATTGTAGTTAAAATTAATATGCTTTAAATAAAGACATTTGTAATTGATAAATAATTGTCAGCTTTATGTAACTTTTTCTTTGAATATTCGCAATTTTCTTACATCAAAATCATCGAAAACACATAATGGTCTTTATCTTAAATGGCGTATGCGTTCTATGATTACTACAATACAATACTATATGTATATCGGATTATCACTGGATGCGAGAAATGAAAGGTTATTTACTCTAATATATTATAATAGTATTGTTCGCGTTTACTTCGTGTTCGCAATTCTTCCATTCTGTCCCTCGCGTGAGATGTTTCTTTCATCTCAACATTATATACCTCAATTATTCTTTTTAATTATTCACAATTAAATAAAGATCAATAATATTCTGTACGTCCTTCAGATAAGAAAATAAATGCAAAAACTTTTTTTAATTGCAAAATAATTTGCGTTAAATATAATGAAGTATAATAGTGTTATAATATACGTATAACACGTTTAATGAATTTATAAGGCTGGGATGACCTGGATACTTCACGCGAGTAATGCAGGGTTAAATCTTTAACCTTAAGAATTGAATCTTTAATAAAATGTCACTACACATTTTTTACAAGGGAAATACCACCGTATTAGAGCCCGATCGAAATTTTTACCGAAATTGAAAACGAACACTGATTATGTGTCAGTTTTGACTGAAACCATATAGCTCTTCTTCATAAATATTCATTTTAATATGTAATTATTGTTTCAATAATTAAATTATGATCTTATGAAGAAGAAAAACTTATACTCTTTGATCAAAATTGACACGAAATTTCGATTTTCTATTTCAGTTGAAAAATTATGTTTCAATTTTATGATATTTATGAAAATAAATAAATTTATAAAATAAATTATGATATTTATGAAAAAAAAGTATATGATACATGGGCATGTCTATATATATATGACCTTTATAGGATTCCTTAATTTTTAATTTTGGTTTCGGTTTCGGTTGAAATTGACATGTAGCCGAGTGTTTCGATTCAGTTTCGATCGGACTCTACATTGTATCTATGATTGCGCATCATTTCTCTTCTTTTTTGTTCGGGAAAATCATATTGATGAAAAAGTTCTACAAATTGATTTTCTCAATTGCACAAAGTACAACGTTTATTCAATTTACGATAAGAAACCTCCACACTTTAAATTTTTGGAAATAAAATTTCACTCCCAAAAAGTGATAGTTGCGCCAGTCCGATAGGAGTGAAATTTTCACTCTTAGAGAGTTAAGAATCATTCCAAATGGGAGTCAATTATCAATCTATGTGGAGAGTGAATAATTTCACTCTGATAAATGTTAGGTTTAGCTTCCCTCTACATCTAATCTGAAAATTATTAGGCTCTTTCATCGTGCTTTTGCACAAAACGAATGAATATGGCAGAAAAAAACGTCACTCTGTCTCGCAAAGCGAAATATTAATCGTTAAAGTCGACTTTTTAGGTTTGGTTAAGAAATTCACTCCTGAAGGAACAAAGTGAAGTTCAATTCTTGCTGGACTGGCGCAACTATCACTTTTCTTGGAGTAAAATTTCACTCCCAAAAATTTAGAGTGCGGTGTTGCGACAAGCAATTAGATTAGAAGCTACATTTCAATATACGTGAGCGCTTTCAATGTATTCCGCTTTCACGTGCAGGTTCCGAGAGCTTTGTTACCTGCGAAACCACGTTTCAAATACACCCGATTCCACGATCGCCGCTGCGTTCTCAAACGGCCGATGATGCGCCTGTGTAAACACACAAAGCAGTCCCTTTCCCGGGGAACCCCCGGCGCGACGTAGAAGCAGCATCGCTACGAACAATGAACGGATGCTCTCCAAGCGAGAAAATAAACCAGCGAATCGCACGTGGGCCTTTCGCTCCGTTTTACACGCGCGTGCCTTAATCGTTCTCTATAGTTGCGACACGCGATAACACACGCCTTCGTCATGCGGCATTGATTAGAATAACTATGTCCCCGCCTCCAGTTTTCATCTGGAGTAGTGTTCTTCAAGAAGTTGCCGCAGACCGCGGTATTATAACACGTCCTCTATTACAACATTAAGTAATTACGCGTGGCGTGACACTGCGAGAACTAATTTTGTAACGAGCACGAGGAAAATTTTTTTTTTATCCGAGGAAATTAGTAAACATTCTACATTTCTATGCATCTAAAGAATTTTTAATTTTTAAATATAATACCTATTCCGTCATATATTTTCTGAATTTTATTACTACATTTCGCCTCCTGCTTTTCCATAACGTCATTTCAATCGCGTTGAAAGCCACGAAACGAGATGGAAGCGAGTCCGTTGGAACACGAGCTAACGTCACGATAAAAATTGCAGTCTCCACTTCAAACGGAAAATTTCCCCCGACAGAGCGAGATGCAAAAGGGCAAAAATACGCGCTCAGCACAAAAGATACAAAGCAAAATTTCTGATGACAAAACGCGAGGAAATCGTGTCGAATCATTGTCCGACTTCCACGTATCTGAGCCAATTTCTTGCGTCAAACAAAAGTCGCTCTTTTGTGCATCGCATGTAAATCGTCTGCATTCTTCCCAGAAAAAGTAGCTTTGCAATTGTTGTTAAATTCTTTAGTATGATTGATTTATACATTTAAATCCATTTGAGAAACTAATTATAACCGCGTTAAAGGGATGTTAGCATCAACTGATTTATCAACAAAAATACCATTTCATGTTAATTTCACAGAATTAAAATTTCTTTTTACGATTAACATATATTAATATATATGCTAATATATCTGACGCTGGTATTTTGCAAAGCAGGAAAAAATAAATTACAGATTTTTTTGACTTGAATATGGACAATCAATACCGTCGATCGATTAATTAAAACATTTACTTCATGGAAATATTATATAGGTTTTATAATCGAAATAAAGACAGAACCAGATGTAAAATAAAAAAATAAATATACATAAATTATTTGAATTTAGAAACTTAAAATATATTTTAATGTGCAACAAACTGTGTATACGTGTGCGTGCTGTAATACTGAGAAAAAGATACTTAAAAATTTGTTTGTGAGAAATATATTTATTTCACTGAAATGAATTTTTATTTAAATACAGCGAAATAAAATTTTATTCCTAGCAAAGAAGCTACATATTTTATTTTTTTACAATTAATGAGATATATTTCACAGAAATATATATTTCGTCACCACACTCGAATTTTTTCATAACTAATAAATATCGAAGAAAATGTAAATTATATTTACTCCGCAATTCGTCGACATT